ACTTCGGTAAGGGCTTCCTGCCCCCTCCCCGGCCACCTCCACCCCGCCGGGACCCCAGGGATATTGGGCTGCATAATCCGGGGTGCCTCGATGCTGCACCCCGCCGGGCTTTGAGTCCCCGGGCACCCCGGAGCTGCGGGTCTTCGGGGCACCCTGGTACTTACAGGTCCCTTTGCACCCTAGCGCTGCGGGTCCTGTTGTGCACCCCAGTAATGCAAATTCTTGGGGTGCCCCAGAGTTGTGCACCCCTTTGCTGTGGGTCCGCAGGGTTCCCCGGGTGGGTGAGCCTGTAAATCTGCCTCAGGAGGTGCCTTGCTGCAGGGAGTGGGCTGCGGTGGGTACCCCCAGCCTGATAACAGGGCTACGGCACAGCACGGGAGATGAGCCCTGTTCCCTTCCCAGCATCGCCCACAGCCCCGTGCCAGTTGGGAGCCCAAAGGCCCCACCAGTGCAGCCCGCTGCTCTGAAAGCCTGGGCAGGTGAGCTGGCACCTTCCCAAGGGCAAATCCCACGTTCCTGGGCCAGTGGGTTGCCCACAGTTTGTCCTGCGTGGTTTAGTGCAGCGAGATGACAGCCCCGGGGTGTTATTTTTAAGCTGCCCTTGCAGGCTCGCCATGAGCCTTGTTGGGCTGCTGTCTGCTGCTGGGCTTTGGGCAGATATCCTCCCTCTGAGCCAGGGCCCCAGAGAAGCTCCAGGCTGCTGCCCCTAAGGTGTCGTGCTCCTGCTGTCCTGCCTGATGATATCTGGGGGCTTTGAGCCTCTCGCCCTGCTGGCAGCAGCTGCTGGCACGGGCAGGATCCTGCTGCCAGACCTCCCCACTTCCCTGGTTTGGCTGAACTTGAGGGGCTTTGCTGAGAGCACTCCCTGCTGTTTAATTTTCTAGAGATGAGGGATCTGGGACCCGAGCGCCCTCACTGACTTCTCTTTCTGCCTTATTGCTGCTCTGCTTGTGTGTGCCCCAACTTCTATTTCAGCTCTGCCAAAGAATTTGGAGACTCAGACACAGGGGCTGCTCTCCTTGCCAGCCACGTCCTTTAGTGCTGTCCGTCCTGGGGAGGTGTGCTGGGGCTGGTGTGGGTGCTGCCTGGAGGGCTGCTGGGGACGTGGCTCCTGTGGCTGGGGAACATTGCTTTCCTAAACTTGAACTTGCCACTTGCAGACAGGCTTTGAGGTGGGGTTTGGACCTAATACAGTTCATGGCTCCCTCCTGTGATCGAGGGCCCTGGGGTGCCTCATTTATGCCTGTGGCTTGATACCAGGAGCTACTAGGGTGCTGGTGTCAGTGTCTGCCTTTCCCATGTCCCTGTGGATCTGCTTCAATCCCAGTCCAGGTGAGCTGGGTTTGCTGTGCCCACAGGTGCGGCCAGAGCTGCTGGGATGGGAGCATTTGACCAAGGAGGGGTTTGGCCCCATGCTTATCAGGCTGCTCTTACGAAATGTCTCTGTTGATGCAGAAGGAAGGTTCAAACGCTGCTGGAGGACTGAGCTCGCTGTCTGATTTCTGTGCCTGCAGATAAGGAGCACGGGCAGAGGAGGCAGAGCAAAGCCCAGGGCACTCTGGGGCTCTCGGAGCCTGGCAGTGCTGCTGGGGCGTGTCTCGGGCTGCTTTCGGCCAAATCACGCCTGTAGAGAGCAGGGGTGAGGAGGAGATGACGCCGAGAGGACTGGGGATGGGGTTTGCAGGGTCACCACCAGCTTTCCAGGGGAATCTCGCCTGCGTGGCCGAGAGCTGGGGGTCCTGCCACAGCAAGCCTTGGCCGAGCTACTGCCCTGGTGTTGGTGCAAACGCTCGTGTGAGAGGTGGGGAGGCTGACGCCCTTCCAGAGACCCTTCCAGAGGACACTGTGTCCCCTGCTGGGCTCTGGGCACAGGAGGCTCTTTGTGCTGCTGGGGGATGGCAGCAGGGCAGCCTTGTGACATTTGGGCACTGCCTCCGCTCCCACCTCTGCGGCCGCCGGCTTGCTCCTTGTGTAAGCTGTTGTGGGCATGTTTGGACTCCAAAGAAGAGGTACTTCAGGCTGCTGAGGGCCCCCCTGCTGCCAGCACAGCTCGGTCCCCTTGCTTGACCTCCTTTTGCAGGCATGGGGAGAGTGCTGGGACCGGCTCCGATGGAGTTCCTGTGGAAAGCTCTGCTTTATCACTTCATAAAATCCCCAGGAACACAGCTTCCAATGTGAAGAGCACATGCCTCTGCAGAAAATACCCTCCTCCCCCGCTGTTCCGCAATTAAAAGTCACCCTGTTCTCCATAAACATGTCCTGGCCCCAGCAAACAGCACGTTGTCTCCTCTGCGTCTGCCCGAACCCCAGCCAAGCTCCAGCTCTGCTCTGGTTTGCTGTGGTGTGTACAAAGTTGGAGCTGTGGCCAGAGCACTGGAGGCTGGAGGGGACTGGTTTGTGTGGGGGCAGGGCACGGCGATGGCTTCACCTCCCTGGTCCTCCCCAGCATCTCCCTTTCACCCCTGCCAACCTTAGTGATCACTTGGGCTTCAGCTGTCCAGGGAGAAATTCATCCCCTTGCAAGCTGCTGTTGGGAGGAGGGAGGTCCCCAAACTTTGGAAGATGGATAGAAGTTGGTCCATCCGTGTGGATGTGATGGTGTTCACCCTGGGTGGTTTCAGATCCAGGTGCCTGGATGTGCACGGTTATGTGTGTGCACAATGAGCACTTGGGTTTGAAACACCCTGCCCTCTGTCCTGGACAAATAGACTTGAGAAAATGCCCCAAAATATCCTCCATAGAGTTGGTGGCAGAGAGACTGACCTGCCAAAACCAACTTGTTGCACCCGTTCAGTGCTTCAACTAACCCACGTCCTTTCCATGGCAGCTGAGAAGGTGACTTCTCTGGGGAAGGATTGGCATCGGCCCTGCTTGAGATGTGAGAAGTGTAACAAGACCCTGACATCTGGAGGCCATGCAGAGGTGAGGTTTGCTGCCCAGGAGGTCCCTGTCCCCTGCAGCTAGGGGTGGGATGGGCAGGGATGGAGCTGAAGAGCTATCGGGGACAGTTGGGGCTGATGCTCTTTCTCTCTCCCCGCAGCATGATGGCAAGCCCTACTGCAACCACCCCTGCTATGCCGCCTTGTTCGGGCCCAAAGGTAGGGTGGTGGTGGCTGGGGTGGTGG